GGGAAAGACAATGTAATGGGGCAAAAGATTTGTAGGAAGATACCCTATTGCATTTTTCCCTTAACTTTCTGAAGTTCTTTCATATGATTTAGGGTGTATGAGACTATGTGAATCATGGAATCATTCTTTTTATTAGAGTTAACATTATTTTGCCTAGAATTTGGCTCAGATAATTGACTGAAGCTCACGCTCTAATGTAGCCAACCAAAACAGAACATGTTTTATAAAATTTTACTTTCTTTGTGTATTCATTCAATGTTGAGGACTCATTAGGGAAGGAAGTAGGCAGATAATTGTATTAGAGAATAGACTGGTCTATATATTGATATATTTAAAAATGGAGGATTTTCTAATTGCTCTTTTTATGATTATCATTTCTTCTGGGTTTTTATTTATCATTTATGAGTGTGCTTTATAATTTATACTCAGAAGTGTCCTGGAGGAATGGCTTTTGCAGAGTGACTGCTAGATTCCGTCAAGTCATTTCTGACTCACAGCAACCCTGATGTGCAACAGAATGAAACACCGCCTGGTAGTGGTGGTGAGCATCATCCAACTGTTGCTATGTGTGAGCCCATTATTGCAGCCACTGACCATCTGCCTACATTGACCCTCTCTACAAAGCATGCTGCCCTTCTCCAGGAAGTGGTTCCTCCTGATAATATGCCCAAGAGCCCTTGTGGTGTTGTGGTTACACATTGAACAAGGTCAGCAGTTAGAAACCACCAGCCACTCCATAAGAGAAAGATGGGCTTTCTACTCCAGTGAAGAGTTACTGTCTCAGAAACCCACAGGGGCTGTTCTACCCTGTCCTATAGGGTCACTGTGAGTCATAACAACTTGGTGCATTAAGTTTGGTTTTTTGCATAGCATGCATGTCCAAGTACGTGAGCTGGAGGTAGCCGTCCTTACTTTTATTCTGCTGTATTTCTTCCAAGACCTATTTGTTCCTTCTTCACAGGGCAGGGAGGTGTATGTCAGAATGTTAAGAAACATGTCAATGTCTAGAGCTTTCTTGTTAGTTCTTTAAAACTCTGATATAGCAGGGACATTCTATAATGTCCATTCCCCTGAAATTTTGTAATTACTGAAATGCTTTAGGCTTTCTACTCCTATAAACACTTTGTCTTGGAAACGCACAGGGGCAGTTCTACCCTGTCCTATGGTGTCACTGAGTCGGAATCATCAATACCAGAAACATCATCAAACATCAAAATGTTCTAAATGTCAGTCATCTTTCCGTGCCTCCATTTGTGGTTAATTATATATTTTCTCATGGAGCCCTGGTGACTTTGTGAGTTACACTTAGGGCTCCTAACTATAAGGTCAGCAGTTCAAACCTATTGACCACTCTCCTGGAGAAAGATGAGGCTTTCTGCTCCTGTGAAGATCTGCAGCCTCAGAAACCCATAGGGGCAGTTCTACTCTGTCTATAAGGTTGCTCTGAATTGGTGTTGGCACATGGCAGTGAATATGTGTTTACTCAAGGTGCACTATTTGGATTAGTCTGAAAAATAAAAATTGTACTTCCAGTTTTATCAGCAATTTTAAGCAAATCGAAAAAAACCTCTCCTGTGTTTTTCATCTGCCAAATGGGCAGGACAAAAAATAGTCATCACTAATTTGTGGAACTGAGAGGAAATTGAGGTTGCTGGGGAAAAGTTCTGTATCGCTTTGTAGATTGTCATAGCTATAGTTGATTTTTTTCTTTGTGTATGCTTCAAAAAAGGAAAATACATTGACTTAGTAATAATTTAAAAGTTATATAATGTTTGCAGGGTTTTGATTTCTGTTATTTCTCAAGAAACAAAATATACTTCGTTACTGTTTCTGTTGTTTCCGTCTCCTCAGAGCAGCCATTGCCACAAAGCCTGCACTTCTTCCCCACCCCCATTGGTCATGCTTAAGTTTGAAAATTAACATTTTCCCTAAAATAATTAACTCCAATTGACTGTGAGATAGTTCAGATTTTACTCTGTAAATTGAGACTATTGAATTTCTTTCTCTTAATTGCTTAGTTCAACACTTGAAAGTTATTAGTGGTAATGGGCAAAGTTTCAAAGTTATAAATGTTGACATTGGTACCTTCTTTTAAAAGAAAGATAAAAGTATTAAATGATAGCCTAAGTTTACATTAATAGGAAAATGATCAAATAAATTATGGATGCATTCATTTAATGAAAAAATATATAGCCATTAAATGATGGTTTTTGATAGCCAAGTTATGATGTGAAAAATGTTTACCAATGAGAAAAGCAAGTAAAGTACTTTTATGGAACAATTGCTTTTATTTTCATTTTAGCACCCATTTATTTAATCCCTGTTAATACTTATTTTTTAATTCTAGCATCATGCAGTGAACTGTTTTCATAGGAGTTTTTACTCCTGTCTGATGAGCTTTATGGTGCTCCAAATTAGTGTTCATAACTTTTTAGACTTTTGTCTATTTAAGTGAAACTTTGAATTCTCTGAAAGTGTATACAAACTCCCCTGACACATAATTCCAGTTTCTGATATGCTTTCAAGTATGAATTTGGATACAGGCATTTTCTATACATTTTTAAATCAAGGGATTTACAGGGTTTTTCCTTATGTTTCCTTTTCATGAGGAAATACTTTCTTTTATTAACTGGATATTAAGCTTTTGTTGTGGACCACTTTGTTAGCTACTGCCAGTAATTAGGCCAGTCATTTTTTCAATAATTATAGATTTAAATGTTGTTTTCTCTAACTTCTGTCTGATATGCCTATATACTCGAGTATAAGTCCATCTGAATATCAGCTGAGGCTCCGAATTTTAACACAAAAACAACGTTAAAAAATGTTCTGGAAAACTCGGCCCATACACGAGTATATACAGTAGGTAATTTACAGCATTCTTTTTTGTCATATTATGTACTTTGGATATTTTTAGCATGTAATCTCCTTAAAAAGCCTAAAATCTACTTGGTCCTCTCTGCAACATAAGTTGAAGGTAGTAAGAGGTATTATTTCCCTTCTTTATGTAACAAATAATTTTTAGACCCACAAGCTAAAACTCACTCAATAAGTAGTGAAGTTAGGCTTTTAATGTTTAGAAGGTGTTTATTGTAAAACTCATTTTAAAATAACCGGACCTTATCACTTATTCCAAATAAAATGTTCATTCCCATAAATATTGCCCCTATTAATAATTTGTTGTGTATTGTCTTTTTCATACATATAGAAATATACACATGTATGTTCTTTTTTTATTCAGAGCCCATCAGAATTCTGAATTACTTTTTTCATTTTAATCTGCCACAACCTTTCTAAGTCTGTGCATTGTGTTATATAGTATTCCATTAAATTAATGAACTGTATAACCAACTTCCTAATGTGGAAAATCAGATTATTTTATTTTATTGATATAACTATGTTTTAAACAATCAAATAATCTTTTTATCGTGTAGTTGGAGTGCAGATGTTGCTTAAAGTTAAGGGTCAGAGTCTGGAGTTCATCTTATTTGGGAATGCTGCTAATTCATTTGTAAGGAATTTATGGTGTCTACTTCGTGCTAGTCACTGTGCGAAGCATTAAGGATACAGAGATGAACGAGACTGTTGCTATTTTACAAAGACAAACTTTGAGAATGTTTCACTTCTCCCAGTGTATATATTATGTCATTATTCTCCAAAGAGGGTGGTACCTAATTTTTAGACAAAATCCTAATCATCAACTCGCAAGCTAATACGTCTAGAAGAAGAGAATGTACCTTATACTATTCATGCTATTGTATTTCTTTGTTTTTTAAAATCATTTTATTGGGGGCACTTACAGCTCTTATCAAAATACATACATATATCAATTGTGTCAAGCACATTTGTACATATGTTGCCATCATCATTTTCTAAACTTTTTTTTTTCTACTTCTGCCCTTGGTATCAGCTCCTCGATTTTTCTCCCTCCTCCACCTTCTCTCCCAACCTCATGAACCCTTGATAATTTATAAGTTAATATTTTTATAACCATTGTTTTATTTAATAACTTATATACTAATTATAAATATATTGTGGTAATTATATATGATGCTAGCTATATTTATTTCTGAATAGGGTCATTTCTGTTCAAATCATTTAACAAATATTTGCTGAACATCAACATGGTGCTAGGTACTGAACTAATAATCAGTTATACAAAGATGATAGAGTCTGCTCTTGCAGAGTTATAACCTAGATAGACTAGAAGAAAGTAAAATAAAGTCCACAATTCTTTCTATGGTACATTGTCAGTGGATGTTCTGTTGATTAATTATGTTTAGATGCCACTATGAACCCTAGTGAAATATTTTCTGACCTTAATCAAAGTTACTTCCGAAACTCAGTTTCCATTTCCTCTTTTCTTTAACTGCCTTATGATATTCATATCTAAATACAAGCTTTAAGATATCTGAAATCCTTGAACTTGTTGTGACACACCTTGCTCTGGTCAAAAGGCAGATTTCTAAGAAATTTCTCATCCTACCGTGTGCCTGCACAAGTTTTGAAATTAAGGATTTGTACCAAATATGAGTCATTATGAGGTGTCTCTCACAGGCATGTATATTCATTGCAGATTTGGTTCCAAACCATGACAAAAGAAGCAAATATAGCAATACAGGGAGCTTTTGTTTATCAGTTCATGTAAAAATCATGTAGACATGGAACTGTGTATTATGAAAAAGTTTGAAATGTGATGGAGTTCCCAAAACGTGGCACAGTGACAGGAGGCGAGTGCAGTCCATTGGGAGGAATGTGGTGCCGATTGACTTGGTTGATGCAGGGTTGCCCCATATCTTGAATTTGTAAAGAAATACACAGTGTCTATGAAATACATAAACCAAAGTGCAATAAAAGAGGTATACCTCATTGCCCCGTGGAGCAGCTGGTGGCGTATATGAACCTCTGACCTCTCTGTTTGCAGCCAAGCATTTAACCACTGCGTCACTAGTGCTCCTAGTAAAATACCATTATGTGGTAATCTAAATAATTTCTTTTTTCAGCGGGTCCATATGGAATATTTGCTGGTAGGGATGCCTCCAGAGGACTGGCAACATTTTGCCTAGATAAAGATGCACTTAGAGATGAATATGATGATCTGTCAGATTTGAATGCCGTACAAATGGAGAGTGTTCGAGAATGGGAAATGCAGTTTAAAGGTACCTTCATTTTATTATAGTTTTTGAAAATGTTAAAACGCATGGTCAAAGTACATAACTTTCACAATGTTGAAGAGCGTTAGGATACCCTCTTTTCATTGCCATTAAAATTTGATGATATTTTAAACATAGCTAAATATCAATGATTGCTACATGTGATCATTTTGAAAATCTGTATTTAAAAATTGACCTGTTACAAACTATTAGAGACTTTTTTAAAAGCTAATGAAACACTAGTTTTATAAGACTTGTCCTTAAAGCTGTAGATTTGGCTTGTTTTGTTTTTAACTGAATTGATAACTGGTGTTAATACTACAATTATAATTTATTCTGAATTGTCTTTAAGCGGTAAAGAGAAAGTGTCATCCTCCTTTATCATAACCTGTAACAATATTTGTTGCCCTCAATTTGTCTCTTTGGACAACTACAAGGGAGCTTCAGAAAGCTCTTGAACAAATGGAATTAAAAGATGGGGGTGGATAGTGGCATTATTCAACACAATTTTTGACCTCCTGTTGTGTTCTCTGACCCTGGTCCCTTTGCAACAACTACTCTGGTTTCTTGGCATTTGTATTTATTGTACAGGAGGCAGTTCTCTTACCTGTTCCTCCAGATTTGTCAGCTAATTCACTTACTCCAGACTTAAATTCCGACCAAGGAAGAACAAAACTTTGGACATACAATGTTTTAAATTAGACACTTTGGTAACAAAAACAAAGTAACAGAGCTGTAAGAACAGAGGTTGATGGGAGATAGAATAATAGTGGGACAAGGCTATATGCTGAAACCTTCGAAGAAGACACAGTAACAAGTATCAAGTGAATTTCCAACTCTTCATAGAGGTTTGTTCTTGAGGACATCCTTTGTCACATTAAATATCTCCAAGTGATTCCGATGCAGTATCCTTGATTAAAAAGCAGTTAAATCTCCCTCCTACAAAGAATCTCTAACAAATGGAGTCAATTCCAACTCATAGGAACTTTCGGGGTTTATGAGATCAGGTAGTCTCACCTTTCTCCTGTTAGCAGGCCAACACTTAACCAACACTGCCACCAGAGCCCTTTTTCACAAAGAATTCCTGACATTATAACTTCCTGTTCCTTTGCTTTGAGCCTTAACATGTGTACAGAGACTAGCCATAGTGAACAATAGGAAGAGCTTTGCTTATCCTTTATAAGTAAGAGGTAAACAAAATTAATCACTACTGATTTTCTTTTGATGTATCTTTCAGAGAAATATGATTATGTAGGCAGACTCCTAAAACCAGGAGAAGAACCATCAGAATATACAGATGAAGAAGATACCAAGGATCACAATAAACAGGATTGAACTTTGTAAACAACCAAAGTCAGGGGCCTTCAGAACTGCAATTCTTACTCCTTTCACAGACTGTCCAGCATCGTTGGGTATGGTTCACCTACTGCGGAAAACATTCAACAGATTGTGTGCAAGATCACTATGAAGATTTGAATACTAGACGTTATTTATACTGCCAACCTCATTTGTTGCAGTTGTTTGTAATGTCTGGTGGGGCTTCATCGTTCTGAGATAAAAATAGGTGACAGGGATTTTTTAAAGGCAAGAAAGTCACAAACTTACTTTTACTTTTCTTTCACTCATTATTTTATTTTTTATCAAAGACAACCAGATATGTATTTGCTACTCTTCAAGTGGTACAAATCTCCTCCCAAAAAACAGCGAAGACTCTTACTTCACATGCTGTGTTTTTGTTTTAGCCTCAAGGAGGGAGGAGACCCAAGTGGAGGGGAGGTGTGCACATCACTTTGACTAGTTGAGGCGACTGAAACATCATAAAATGTGAATTCCCAAACGTTTCTCTTTGGGCTTTGTCAGGGAAAAGAAAACTATTTCTAACAAATCTGTGGCAATTAGGATAAGGGATTTCAGGTGTCTTTGAGTCAAAGCTAATTCTCCAATAGTGAAATCATTTGGAACCAGTTTTTATCCTTTCCCTTACCCTAGATCAAATCAATATTGATTGTGCCTTATTTCACATAGACTTGAATTATTTTTAGTGAAAGCCCCTCTATGAATTCAGAAGTCACTACAAGCAGCATTGAGACCGAACTTGGAATATCCTGTTGACCGCAAAACCTTGATAACATTCTGTGTATATAGAATGTAAAAGGAATATTCAGTGTTACTGCCATATATGTTAATATTCACAAACTTAAATAGCATTGTAATGGCCAAATGCATTCCCCCATGCTTTTTTTCTTTACAAAAAAAAAGTTGAAAACAAATCAACAACTCTTCCCCCAACAGCTGCCTGATTTTAGGAGCGTGATCCTCACGTCTCGGAGGTGTGGGGACATGGTATGGGTGTCAGTATGCGTGTGTCCGGGTGTGTGTGAGTGCCTTCGAAGGGACTCTTTCTGCAGATACTGTAAATACACGTACAATTTTAATAAAGCATGTACAACAAACCAAAATAAGTTTGAGTTGGAATTTATATACATAATTGTCAGCCAGTGCATGAGGAGATGGTAGTCAGGCTTGTGCATTTGGTTCAAGATACGGTGAAAATCTTGGACATGCAGAGCAGGCACTGTTAACCAAGTTGTACACATTGTACCATGTTCATTGTAACTTTAGGAAGAAATTCCATTGTGGGGAACACTCAAGAGATCTGAGGTTATTCAGGTAAGAATTGATTTATTAAAATATACATATTTTGGCTACTTTTATGCCAACTGATTAAAAATAATAGTCATTAAGGCACAAAACAGTAAAGTTTATTGTTACTGATTGACATTAAATTTTTCCATTACTAGATGGGAAGTCCTACTAAAAGCTCTATTTCTGCCAATTATTTGACTATTTAGGTTGTCTACTAGAGACAGATTACTCTGTTAAAGAAAAGGTTTCTTCTGCCGTATGGGCATCATATATGCTGAAGCCATCCAAAAAGGGGGACACTTAGCTCCAATAATAATGACATGAAAGTATGTAAAATACATTCTCTTTGATCTTGGAATGTTTTATAGAAAATGATGATCAGCAAAGATTTGAAGACTGTGGAAATTGCGTATCAGTTAATGCTTTGTGTGTCTTGATGTGAAATATTTTCTAAACAAAAATTTGTTAAAAAGTTTGTGTCCTCTATAGTAAATTGACAATTATAAATCATTTGAGCTTAAAATTCTATTATAAATCTGCATTTGTGAATATAGAAGCCCTAAGTATTCATGCAGTAAAAATTATGCAGTCTGTTAAGGAAAATGGGTAATTTGTGTTTTCGACTTAAAATAAAGTGTTCTTTAGCTAATTCTTGGATTTCAGTTAAGTTTGTCATTCTCAGATAATTTGGTGACAGTATTTGTGTAAGGAGATGGGAGTTGTGGTAGTGGCATTGTCTCTTGTTTTTTTCCTTTAGCCAATATTGCCTTGTTTGAACCACTGGAGGTACTTAAAATATAGAATTTGGGGTCCCAGTTTAAACTTATCACAGATCTAGCCAGAGTCTAAATAGAGTGAGCCTCAGAATATTAATTGTAAGGAGTGCTTTAATTCTTAGGATTAGGCACATTTGAGAAACATTGCACTAATCCTTTAAAGTGATACTGCCCATCCAAAATGAAAGATGCTCATAGATAGTAATAGTCTGATTCTCTTTGTTTAGTTTTATTTGTTTTTAACTTTGTATTTTAGGTGAGAGTTTACATAGCAGATTGTTGGGCCTTTTTACTAAATGGTTACCATTTAACAATTTTTAGTTAACTTGTTCCATTATATTGATTACATTTTCATAAACAACCTCATTATTTCCATTCTTAATGATTCCAATTAATCCAGTTTCCCTGCCCCCTCCTTAGCTTCTGTTCTTTGTTTTAGGCAAATGTTGACTGGTCTCATATAGTTGATTAAGGAAACAGTATTACCGGTGATTTGTTTCTAAGTTAATCTGTTATATGGATAAAAGTGACCACTGAGAGTGGCTTCAGCTCCAAGTTCAAAGAGCCTGTACAGTGAAGTGCGTTATTTATGGCTTTTCTAGCCTTAGTTAGTCTTATTCACACAAAACGACTTTCCTGATAGGTCTGAGTAAGAAGATGGGGAAAGAGACTGACTGTGAGTGACAACCATCCTGCTGGATATAAAGTGAGCCATCTCAAAAGCAGGGGGTGGAATCTCAATACCAGCAAGAGCCAAGAAGGGAGAGCTTCCTTTGGATCCTGCATCTGGTTTGCCTTTCTCAGTTGGACCTCCAGTTCTCGCGACTGGAATTGCCATCTGCCACCTGACCTCATTTCACCAGCTTCCTCAGCCTTGGGGGGATGTCCTCCAGAGGGACATCTGTATTTTGGATTGGGACATAACAGCCCCTACAACTACGTAAGCCATTTTCCATCTTGTGAGTTCTGTTTAGCCATTGCAGCAAATTGTAGAACCCTTGATTTAAGAATATACTGAAAGGAGGAGAGGCAGTTGATAACAAAGGTAATGGAGCTGTGTAGTTCCACTGTGAAAAGTGGGACATTTGAAACATTTTAACTTCCACCTTCTACTGAAAAGAAATTTCAGTAGCCTGTGTTTGGTTTTGTATTACTCCAAACATTTCCTTTGGGATTCTCAGTCCCAATCCTAAATTTGTTGCAAATACTTAAAATGAGATTTCACATTTGAAAAGCTAATGTATGGCTTCAAAAATAACTAATTTTCATTTTGTTTATGTTTTAATCTTCTAAAAAAGGCAGTCCGTTGTTTTATTCTGTTAGGCATAAGGTCTCTGGGCCGGGACCAACTCGATGATACCTATCAGCAACAATAGCTGTAAGTTGGCACCTGTATGCCATTAGGTAATGAACTCATTGAGCTACAGATCAAAATTTTAAACCCTTGACTGGTACTAAGGAAGCTTATGTTTCCTACCTGTATCCTACTTGACTTCTGAGATTTGCAGAATTCTATAATATACCTGCTTTACCCATCTTTTAGGGAACATTTATCACAGTGAATTTGATAGTAAATTAGACTCCCTGTATCCAAATTTAAGGAACCTTGATGTTGCTGTTGGATTAGCGTTGGACTGCTAGCCACAAGGTTAGTGGTTCGTACCTAACAGCTGCTCCACAGGAGAAAGATGTGGTAGTCTTCTTCCATAAAGATTGCCGACCCGTGTCACTGCCATTAAGTCGATTCCAACTCAACTCTATAGGGCTGCTGCTGCTTAGATTTTCCAAAGCGGAATTTGTACTGGGGCAGACAGACTTATTTTTCTTCCAAGCAGTGGCTGGTGGGTTTGACCTCACGACCTGGCAGTGAGTCGTCGATTGCTTGACGCATTGTGCCACCCATGCTCCTTTCACAGAGACACGGCCTTGGAAACCCTGTGGGACAGTTCTGATTTCCTACAGCACTGCTTGGAGTTGAGTCAACTCGATGGCAGTAAGAGTGGTATGTTTTGTTTGTTTAATCCAAGAATTCCATTTACATCAAATTAAAAATGGCTTTTAAAAGTTTAAGCATGCAAAGGGGATCCACAAAGTATGGAAAAATGGAATTAAAAAGGTAATGGAATTTTTCATGAACTTTTTGAAGCCCCCTTGTATATAGTCGATTAATGTCAGCTTTCAACGTGGTAGAGAGTACTGATCACATAGATTAGGATCTGTTTCTTGGGGTGTGACAAGAATGTTCAAATGAAAACTGCCTGACTTTTCTTGACACTCTAGGCTAAAAAACCTCTTATTCAGTCCTTGTCAGAAAGGCCTTTGCCTCATCACCACCCTCTTGCAAGTCAGACTGTCAGGAGACCCTGGGACTAGGTACCAGCCTTGCATTTGTTCTACCATCACTAGTGAGCCAAGAGAACATTTGGACAAAGGCAGGTTTATGCTCAAGAGATTTTTCAACCTTCTGTATCCCTATAGGTCCCAATTAAATGAAAACATGGGATTTGATTTAAGAAGACAAATATCTGCATATGTCAATTTAGTTTTGGTTTTTGTCAATATAGTTTTTAACAAAATTGCAGGATAATCCATATAAGATGGGACCCCAATTTGCTTTTGTTTTTAAAAGGGAGAGGAGCAAATTTAGAATATGAATGAAATCTGAAAACTAAAATGTATTTCCTGGTTAGAAGAGTTTTATATGCTCATTTTATAGTAAATGGATGAAGAATTGACCCAAAATCATCGTTGTGACAGTTAATCTTCCTGTCTGACCTTTCTGTATTTGTGGGATCATAATTTAATCTCTTACTCCAAAGTTGCAAACCCAGGTCCATCCATTCTTAATGAACCTCACTCTACTTCATGGAACCCCAAATGAATGCCTCGTCCCCAACCCAAACTTGCCCCTGTTAACACACTATTAAAGAGTTACTGCTACAGTCTCCTGCATTGTCTTCCTACCTACCTTTCATTCTCTTCAAATTTATTTCTGTTGACAGTAAATGACCTTTCATTCTCTTCAAATTTATTTCTGTTGACAGTAAGTGCACATTTGACCGTGTTGCTTTCCAGCTTCAGTTGCTCCATATCTCTGATAGAGCCTACATTTTCACCAGTCTACTTTTCAGTCTGCAGTATACAACTACTTGCTGTTTCCAGAATATGCTCTTAACTGCCTCCTGCTAAACTCCGATGTGGACTAGCTTTGCTCTAACCTTAACACCAAAGTTACTGTGCAGCAACCACAGGTCAAAATCTTCATCGAATGGTTAGAGAAGTAACGGAGGGAAAGTGGAGAGGAGAATGCCCCCAATTTATTGTAACAGAAAGCATTCATCAATCCCTTTAAAATCCCACCTGGAGAGTTCTTTTTGCCATTCTTTAATCCCCCAAACAGGTGGTAGTCCATTCGAGAGAAAAGTTGGTAAAAGGCAAGATCCAGTGAGAAGCACATATAAATTTTCTCTTCACAAAGAAACCTTGAAAGAATAAACATGTAATGAAAATGGCACAGCTTGATAGACTGTCCTGGGAAGAAATGGCTTATTTGTGGGGGGAGAGAGTTGCCCTTCCCAGTACTAGCAATGAGAGAAAAGCAAGGTAGGATGGGAATAATCTCATTTAAAGACAAAAATCACAACTCTCGTTGAGTCTACCAATAGTTTTATTGGCACTTCATCTTTCATGATTCAATAGTTCATTCATATCAAAAATTATACAATCATTACCTCAATCAATTTTAGAATATTTTCTTTGTACTCATTCAGGTATTTCTTTAATTGTGGCAAAGATATACGCAA